TTCAATCTTTCATCACATTTTTATTTCTAATACTATAAAAAATACTGCTATTTTGCTTTCTAGAATACTGGCAAGACTGCTTTGGTAAGCTTATCTGGAGGACTGAACCACCCTACCATGTGTTAGAGGGGAGCCTCGGGGGAAGTGGATCCCCATACAAAATTAGCTACAGCATAAGCCTTTATCACTGAGTCTATTGCATACAGATCCTTTAATATAGAATATGCAGTGCCATCTACACTTGTAGGTGAAAGAAAAAATCCAAGAATTGACTAATTGCTTGGACTTTTTACCCTCTTTTTATAATAATAAGTGGGAGCTAAAAAGAACCTTAAACAGTGGCTCTTTTTAGACTGTGAGTGAGCTTGCACACTAAAGTTATCTATAAAGCTGTAATATGTGAGAGTGGGTGTGTAACAAGCACATATTGTCACACACAAAAATTATGCTTAATTACTTATTCTTTTACAACTGCAGCCCTTATGATAATATGAAAAAGGTGCAAAACATGCTAATAAAAAAATCACACGAACACAAAACTCCAAAGATCTCTAACCTGCAATTATTTTGTCACATATAAATCCCAGTATAAAAAGTCACATACAAAATTTTTCAACCACTGCCTACCAAAGTCACTTTCGTCATTTAATGAGATTCAGGGGTGGAAGGCAGACTGCATTATCAAAAAACATGTGTGCTACATATATATCAAACCTTTATCTTTATTTTCATCCTCCCAACACAATACTTTTGGCTATTTCTAATTTATCTTTATTAATACAAAAAAGTAAACATTATTAACAATAAATCATAATGTTCCAAAGAGATTCTATAATAATCATTTCAGAAATGGGGAGTGTAATCTAACTGTACATTACAAAATGTTAACTTTGTGCTATGGGTGATCTACTGTATCAACTATATAACCTTCTGTGCTTTAGATATGTAATACATGGTGCTGGTGGAAGAAAAAACTGATAACACACATACAAAATTCATTACATGTCATTTGGGAAAAGGTACAATTTTCTTTACACAAACACTAATATCAAACAAATGTACACAATTGGCACAACAGGAAAATAAAACAAATTTTCATTACTCACTTCTTTCCCCAGTTCATATTCTAAGGTCAATTCCTAACCCATTGGTACCAGGTACATGCCCTGTCTACTGCAGCTTTCCAAACACGTATGTCTAAATGAGTAAGCAAATTTATTTTAAATTAAATTACAGAGGACACTGCAGGTATAGATCACTCCTGGGGGTCAATAAATTAATACAACATTGATAAGCTTCAAAAGAACAGTTCTTTACAGTAGCTTTAATCAGTGCTAATATACCATAAGTAATTAATTTATTCCTGTATAAGGATATAGATCTCAAATGTAAGCTGTCCCTAACGACATCAATCTTTATCTTTTCAACATAAAAACTTGCTTAAATATCATCTTACATTCAAACAGACATTTTACTTGAAAGCTGCAAAGCCTCTGGATTAATTTTAATAAATGAGCTTACAGTATTCCATTCTGCATTCAAAGGGATACGTTACAACCTGTAAAATTAATAACTGTTCAAATATCAAATGTAATATCATGCTTACATTTAATGCTGCTCATAAACTGCACCTTGAAAGCACCACCCATTTATTTTTAGTTAATATTCTTCCTGTCAAATTTTGAGGAATAACACCATTTTTTTTCACACAATTGTCAAAATCGAAGTGGAGCACCATTGCCTTTCACCTTATTACCATGAAAATTATGTCTGGGAGAAAAAACACTTGATATGTATTTTACTACTGAAATCAAACAATCTGCTTGAGCTTACATAAACTCAACATTCACCATAAATACATAAAGTTGCCTGTCACCAGCACTCCCATGGGTTCTTAATGGACTGAGGACGGATGTCTACACATAATCTCTAGAATTTGTAATTACCCTAAATAAGGAAATCCTTCAAAAAGAAGAAGAAAAAAAATGGAGCACAGTATGAACTGCAAACAAGTATGAACACATTTTATATACACTTGGCTTGGTTTTTTACATTTGCAAAATAATAACCATGATACATCAAAATTATACAATAGCATGACTTGGATCATACTATGAAAGAGGAATCTGTCCTTGCAATATGTGATGCCTCCTCACTCAATGCCCGCTGAAGGGAGATAAAACATAAGAGATAAATAAACAAGAAGATGAGAGCATGAACACACAAAGAATAAATCTCAAAATAATCAAAAATAATTGAAAAATAAAGGAATAATAATAAATAATAATAATAATAAATACTAAGCAACTTTTTCTTTCCCTTTTTTTCCTTTTCTTGGGTATTTGTCGTAACACAATTTCAATATATTTCTATTACACAAAACAACTTACCTCAGCCTGAAAATAAGACAGCTCAAAAGACAGGAAATGACATGCTTTTTGCAAGGTTCATGGCTCTCAGGAAATTCATTTACATTTCCTGTCGAGCCTTCTCTCTACTTTCTGTCAAAATACTTGACTAACCATTTCGAGAACTATTTTATATGTAGTAGAGTTTTAACATCATGATAAACATTTCAAATAATAATAATAATAATAATATTTAAAAAATAACAACAATAATAATAGCAATAAAAAAATTATGAATATTATCATTATTATTATCAACATTATTGTAGTTATAACCATAATTATAACTATCTAAAATCATAATTATAGTTAATTATAATCAAAATTCAAAATCACAATAATAATGACGACGATAATAACATCAATCATAGCTGTAATAATAAACTGAAGTAAGAGCTAAATGTTCAAAAGAAATAAAATAAAATAGATGGTCAAGACCTTCAAACACAAGTAGATAAAACAATTTTCCTCCTGCGGCATTTCCTTCCCTCCCAGACAAGACTCGAATGCCTTAGCTATCAATTTAAGCCAGTCAGCAAGCTTTCCACAGAGCTGAAATGGATACCAATTATAGAAACGGCAAAATGTGATTAGCTGTTATACTCGACTCACTTTTTTTGACACTCTCTCTTCTTTCTGATCACAACGCATTTTGAAGAGAGACCCTATAGCCTCATCACAACACAGCAGCATACCAAGAAATACACAAATAAATATATAACATATAAATTAACAGACAGATATAGAAGAGAGGTCACTTATCCATGAACCAAATTGTAGAAAGTAGTGGATATCAATTTAGTTATTCTTTGGCAAAATCACCTGAACTTAACTTTTCTGTTTTGCAAATCTGTTTGCAAACTGAGACACTGACACAGAGCAAAGGCTACAAAAACATACACTAACACACACACTCTCCCTCTTACATGTTTTTTTCTTCTCTCTCTCTCCCTCTCTATTTCCTTTTTTCTTTCTTTCTGATTTTCATTCTCACACTCTTACTTTTACCTTTCATGTTTTTTTCTTTCATTTTAATACTCTTCCTTTCACTCTAACTTACTATTTTCCTTCTTTCCCTCTCACTTACTCTTGCTCACTCTTCCTTTCTCCCTCTCATTTCCTTATTCATCAGTCTCTCTCTTATTTACTTACTCACACTCTCCTACTTACTTAATTACTTCCTTTCTTACTTACAACACACTATCTCTCTTACTGACTCATTATCTCTCTCTCCTACTTACTCATACATTTTCTTCCTTACTTACTCATTATTCTCCCCTGTCCTCACCTATTCTTACTCACTCATAAGTCCACATATACCTATTGCACCTTTGCAAACATACGCTTCTCTGTTACATATTACAAAATTTCTTTGCACAGAATGAAAATAGACAAAACATACAACTACACAATAAGTACAAAACCTATTGAATTCCCTGATGATAGTTGATTAAGTACATTTTGTTACATTAAGTAACACAAACTTCAATACTTCACACTGATGTATTCTTTTCAACTTACTTTAAAACTTACTTTTTGCTTTTCAAGACCTATATCTAGATGCCCTATGTTGCCTACATAAAACATATCTTCAATGTCTATTAGATGATGAAAGGTGAAATATTTTGCAGTTGGTAGTTCTGTAATTAGTTAGAAGTATTTGTTAAGATAGCATATGAATAGATTAATAGATAGCAAATTAATAGTAGGTTAGTTATGATGGAAAGGAACTTCACAACTAAAGCTATTTCTAAAAAACTTTTTAATACTAAAAATGAATTTGTATAAGAACAACCCCCTTTCTAGAGTTAAGATAAATAAAATAAACTTTTAAGTATCTTTTCAAACCTAAACTGACAGTAAAAGAATCCTCTTCTGATAATCTATCTTTACTAGTGATATTATCAAACATTATAATATCATTATCTTTCTCATTATCCCTGAAACTAGAAATGTCAATGTATTCATTCTTCAATGCATCTTTCCCACAGCTGAATTAGGAATCTTACGTACTTCCAATTTGCTACTAACAAAACTACACCATTAGATTTCACCACTACCTTTGTCACTTTCCTATGCTTTCTTCATGCATCTCTGTACTTTTTTCAAGCAAAATAATCTCACACTGCAAGAATCTTTGGTAAAAGAGGAGGTACTCCTAGGATAAAAAAAATATGTAAGTACCAACAGCACCACAACCTCTGTGATCATTATCATCAGAAAAATAATAATGATAAAAAAGCCAAATGAAAAGGTTACTTCCCAGCCATGATAAAAAGACAGTAATTTCTTTAAAAATACTAAAATAATCACAAAAATAAACATATGATAATACAATTCTAAGCAGAGAAAAAATACAATCCAAGCAAATTAATTATTACATGTATCCACATGGTTCCTTTCCTGGTACCAGCATTCTGCAAATATGCTGCATCCTCATAATGTCCTGTGAAATAAAGGTGTTTGCTCTAGCTTAAATTCTAAAAGCATTACAAAAGTTATATTATTCACCTTCTACTACTATAAGCAGAGTGACACCTGTAAGTATTATCTTTGGAGGCAAGTTTATTCCTCTCACTACTTCCGGGAAACCTTTGTTTTTACACAATAAACCTGCTGTTGCTTGTGATTTGCTTTTGTGCGACTAGAATCTCTACAATTTGCACTAGAGAAGACAGTTTTCACAAGTGGTTATACAGTGAATATGGTTAAGTACAGCAGAATGAAGTTATTAATATCATTCTGTACAACAATGCACACCTGTTGTTAATAAGGCAATGTAATGGAAGAAATATTCTATCACCGGGAGCAGTAATCGCAAGGGGGAAGCATTAACTGAGTTATCATCAGGTAGCCGTTTCCTACACCCAGACAAGGCGGTGCTCGGAGTCGTTCAGGTTTCTCGCTGTGTGGCCGCGGTTTGGGAGCGAAGAGAAGCGGCGGTCGTCAAGAGAAGAGGAGGAGGAGGATGATGGATCACCCACCACCGTTAGGCTGCCAAAGAGGGACATGCACACATGGTCAGGCTTCGAATACTAATCATACGTATTACCCATACAAGTTCCTTAAATGTCACCTTTGTGCACTTCCCACTGCAGTTATCATGTCTGCTTCTCTAACATCTTCAGTTGTGTGCAGCCCAGTTACTACAAAATGATGAATGAGATATCCCACCACATATTCTGGAGTTGAAGTAGTTCATAGTCCAAGAAATAAAAATGAAAAGGAACTAAGAGTGAATAACTTTGGGTAGCAGAGGGAAAATGTGCAATAAGTAAACTAAATAATAGCTGTGATAAAAACAATAATCATATTTCAAAGAAATAAAGAATCCATCTACCAAACAGAACTGAAAAGAGAATATTATGAACAAATGAGTCATATACATATTTACATTATTACACAGATCTAGCATGAAAGACCAGTCATGTAAATAACATTCAATATTGACATGAAAATGCATTTTCAAAGACAATTTCTATATATCCTGTATATAACATACCAAAATATTCCCTATTGTGCCAAGAATCAAGCAAACGGCCATATTTTCTGTTGTTATATTTGATGTCTATTTGTATGAGGGTTTGCAAAGTGTCCTAAAGAGTAGATATTGATAGACAATTACTAAGTGTAGACAAACAATGGGTAAAATGACGAAAAGATGGGAAGGGCTTAGGACAACCAAGAAGCATGAATAAAACAGGTAAGCCTGTCTAATGTTATCAATGCAACAAGTTATTTTATGTCACATTTAGCCACAACTAAAACTGGGCTACAAAAGGGATAAGTATTGTATGAAAATAATATTAATAATAACCTAAGGATTAATCCATTTGATACGGATGTTTCACTGCCATCATGTGGCCCAAAATATGGGCATTAGGTTTCTGTGAGCAGTCTGCAATGTGTGTGGCTTGTTGGTCATGTGCAAATGAACACACATGTGCAATGACAAGACTCAATGCCTCCACTCTACAATGTTATTTTCTTTTTTCTGCATAAGCATTTTTAGCTTCTAAGCCATTTTCCAAAATCTATATTTGTCATTTGATTTGGTCTATCTGGATGGTAATAACAGAGTATTTTCCTTGCACAAACTACATATGATCTATCTAGGTAGCTCATAGCTTAGTGCAATAATAATAACAATACGTAACATTTTGTTATTTATCCTATTTTTTCCATACTATTCAATTTTTTGTAATACATCCTGCATGGTTGGTCATGGCAGGCAGCAATAGGATCCTAAACAAGGAAAGAGCAGTCTTCCTGGAGAAAGCACTCTTCCAGCCATGGCTCACAGATGGAACATTCCACACTCATTTATCAATGGAAATAATGTTAATGTCCCTTCCTAAATGCTAAATGAGTTTAATTACTGACCAAGAGCTTTGTACTCAGCAAGTCTTTCCCATCACCCCTTTATCCAGCAATTTATGTAACTACGGCCTACTGCCAGATTTTCCTATGACGCCCCTCAAGCCAATTTTTTTTATGATATGATGGTCACATCATCCGGATCATAGGGGTTAAGGGGTTGAATGCCAAAGGAAAGCAGTGTTGATCAAGGTAGAAGTGTCATTCAAGACAAGGAATTCTAATAAATAAATGAATAAAGAAATGGGAACTGTTAATGTAATGAGCTAAAATTTGTGGTGATCTCAGGGTCAATTTTGTGTACCTGGCCATATATTTAATCTACAGTGAATTCAATTACTATCAGAACTATAAAATAATCTGACAACTTTATCATGATTTTTTAAAAACTATCTTCGTTTCACTACAATAAACCCATTATATGGTTATAACAGTTTTTAAGTCTCCTATTACAGAAAGCGGAAGGAGAGAGGAAGATCAAGAAAAATAAAGGATTTTCAAAGAACATTACGTACATTCATAATCAACTGAGTCCATTATACCCAACATGCTTCGTATTTCCATGGGCTAATCCCTTAACTCCCTCCATGATGCAAATCTCGTTCCCCAAACTGGTGCCAGAATACCAAAAATACTCTTATTATCTACATAGAAGACAAAGAGAAGAAATAAAAAACAATAATATACCAATAAGATGAAACTTACGCCAACATAAATGAGCATGTATAAAAAAGGAAAGAAAGAAAAAAAAGAAAAAACAAAACATGCCTTCTTACCTAAGAGGTTGTGAACTGCCATTTACTTCCACTGGTTGTAACTGCAGTCTACCATCCCTTGTAGATGAGGGAGCCTTGTTATTGTTGTTGTTCAGAGCGGCATCCATACCCTTGCCATCGACAATGCTCTGACCAGCAGTGCTATTGTCATCGTCTGTGCTGCAAGAGCCCCCGGCAATGTTCTGATTGTCGTCCCTTGGTTTGTCACCGAAGTAGACCTCGGGAGGGATGTGCCAGATGGTAGTCCTGTTGTGGTCTTCCGAGGTGGTGAGGGAATTGTGGCTGTCGCTCTTTGTACTCCTGCTGGTGTTGCTCCCACTTGCCATACCAGACTTCTTTGGTTCCAAATTGAGCTTCAATATACCTAAAAAAAGAAAGGGAGTGTTACAAGAAACCCGTTAAAGCTCTATGCAGTGAAAGATGAGATGTCATGCCTAAATAGTAATATAAAAATGTTTTTAAGCAGTGCTGAGGTTAAAACTATTAACTCCTATTATCCAGATGATGTGACCATCACTTCATGAAAAAGTTTGACTTGAAGGGTGGTTGACATGACAAACATGCAGGACTTATAGAAAAATTTGACTGCAGGCCAGGCTGACGGCAGTGATTCGCCATAAGTGCACAAAGCTCTTGGAGAGTGACTAGACTCATTTGGTGTTTAGGAAAGTGCTTTTGTATTATTTACATTCATGAACCATGACTGGAAATGCACTTGTTGCAGGGAGGGCACTATTTCCATGCTTAGGATCCTATTCCTAGTTGCTGTGACCGGCAGCACAGGTAGTATTACAGAAAAGTGAATATTATGAAAAATAAAAAATGCCAGAAATAACAATATGTTACATGTTATTTTCCTTGCATTGGTTATGGACTACCTTGAGAGATGACATGAAGTCTGTGCAAGAAAAATACTCTATTACCATCTGGATAGAGCAAATGAAAAGATAAATATACACATTGGGAAATGGCATAAAACCTAAAAATGCTTTTGCATAAAGAGAACATGCCGTTGCAAATGTATGGAGTCTTGTCACCACATGAGTGTTCTTGTGCACCCGGCCCACAAGTTGCACACCGTCAAAGCGGCAGCTCAAGTAAGCCTAGTGTCTGTATTTTGTGGTCTATGATGATTGATAATAACATATTAGCATGGCAGTTGATCCAATGTATTTTACAGTTTTCAGATCCAATGGATTGATAATAACATATTAGCTTTAATATGTTAAAATAATGAACTAAATATCAAATCTCTCATAACAAAATCAGTTGATCCAATCAGGAACACCAGAGCGTATTTGAAAGATTACAGTTTTCATTTTGCTTTCTTCTTTTTTAAATATATTCTTTTGTCTTCAAAATACCTTGGAAATACTGATATATGCATATCTTATGCAAAATATGTTTCAAACTTTGTATAAGAAATATTGGGAAAATGTGACACCAAATATAAAGCTGAGTAAATTAACAGCAAATATTCTTGATTTCCCCCATTAATTTTATAAATCAAATTACATTCTTTACATATGAGTTAAGAATAATATTTATTAGATTCATCATACACAGAAAGGACTGTTACAATAAATGTATAAATTCTAATCAAATTCATCCTACTATGCTGTTTACCAACTATACATTGGATCTTTCATCAGCTGAATCAATACAAATGAATGAAAATCATCTAAATTTTCTTTGAAATTACATCATTACAATTCCTCTTCATCTACAAGAACAGCACACATTGTCATAAACATTATAGTAATACCAATCATAACCCACTGGATCTGGATGCTTCACTACCTTCATGTGCCCAAAATGTGGGCATTAGGCATACTTTAGTGGCCACTCTGACAAGTGTGGGGCTTGTATGGTGAACACTCATGTACAGTGATAAGACTCTTATGCCTTCCCTTTGCTATGCTATTTTCTCTATTACTGCATAATAATATTTAGCTTTTCTGCCATTTTCCAATCTCTATTTTGCCATTTGATTTGCTTTATCCCGATGCTAATAGACTGTTTTCCTTGCACTGACTATATCATCTCTTTAGATATTCCACAACTCAGTCCAATAATAATGACAATAAGTAACACATTGTTATTTGTGTCATTTTTCAATTTCTTCCTAATGTTCAAATTTCTGTAGTACAACCTGCATGGCCGGTCACGGTGCTCAAGAATAGGATCCTGAGCATGGAAATAACATCCTCCCTTGAGCCAGCACTCTACCAGTCACAGCTCATGGATGGTACATTTAACATTCGTTTATGGATGGAAATAATGCAAAAACCCCTCAAGCCAAATTTTTTCATGATGTGATGGTCACATCAACCAGAGAGTCGAGGTCAATTCATATTCCAGGAAAAATTGTGATTATAAGACCATGTTAAGTATCTCTCCATGTAACACCACAACAGGTTTAACACATACAAGCAACACAAAACTTTGCACTCTCAATATTTTAAACTCATTGCCTCTGGGTGGCCCATATGCCATGCCAGGGATGTGTATGTCAGCCCATCATTATCTCATTATCTGTGATTTTAGTTTATCAAATTTTCCTTTAACATAGATGACCCCACAATAGCTTAGTCACCAGAGTCAATTATTAGTCCTAAGTAACCTCTCATGTTTACTCTTTACCCTGATTTTTTGAAAAGAAAAGAAAAGAAATAAATCATATTTCTTAATGTTACGAGAGTATTATCATAATAGTCCCAATGTCAATAATAATAACAGTGTTAACGGTACTGTTATTAATAGCCTTAGAAAAAAAAAAGTTTCCCAAAAATTCATGGATATGGGATATCAGGTAAGGTCAGGTGAGCCTAGTAATTGACTCCTTGGGGACTAAGAACTTGTAGAGCCTGCTATGAGTTAACAAAATTCATAAAACTAAACTGCAGTGGACAATACAATACCTGGCACCAATGGGTTAATAGCCCCTATACCATTTGGACTTTGCATAACAGCTGCCAGTTGCTTTTGCAAGAATTCAAGCAATAATATAACACTAGGGTATCGTATCATACATATTTGTGTTTAAGTACAAACCAGGACTTTTTTAGCACATATATGACATGAAAAAACAAGCATGCCAGTTGTTTGCATGTGATGCACGGCAATTTAAATACGGCAGATGGGACCACCTGAGCTTAGCTCTTCTCCCGTACTGAAACAACTAGGTAAGAACTATATTCATGGGCACACCAGAGTTTAGGCCTTACAATGTTTAAACCATCCCAGAGGCATTGGGCTAATTAACCAAACATTTTAGTACACACTTAAACCTTTCCCACACCTAACAAAACAAAACACATTTCACAAGCACATGATAAGTATATCCAAGGCAGCCAGAAAATAAGGGGACCTGGAACAAAAGGGCAACAGAATGCTTTGAAATGGTGGTAGTTCTTTCAATCCTCTCACCTCTACAACACCCATCTTCCTTTGTATTGGTAGGCACACCTGTAGCATACCTGTCTGGAATATAGAGATGCATGGCTGGTATGTGACCACTATAATACTTGGAGATCTTTTAGTTTATTAATATTTAACTGAAAATTAAGGAGAGTCATGTATGAAAAGCTTTTTTCTTTCTTTATTTTATTTTTTATGTATCTTTTGAGTAAACAGTAGTAAAACTTTTTACAATAATTAGCAAAAATTCTGGAAATTCAAAATAACAATAAAAAGAACAACAAAATATAATGTTCACTGTACAAATAATAACACTACAAGGGCGACTGCAAATTTCTGGATATGACATATATGCATATGCAAAAATACTGTTAAGGCCTATCACACTAGCACTCTTTCCTCCAATTTTTGCATTTCCACATGAATTTTCCATATGCAAGTGGACTGGCCCTAATCACACAGCCAAGGCAGCAAATATATTGGCAATGTAAATAAACATGGCCCAATCTGAGTGAGGTGCCAGGATCACACAAGAATTCTCGTACATATCTTGTTATTTTAAAGAAATATAGTGAAGTATATTGTATGGAGAAATACTAAATAATATCAGTTTCTGTTTACATTAACCAACTTGTTGCAGTAAATGTAGCATTATTTATTTTGGACTCAAGGTGCACGGGACCATGCTGGAGAGTGCACTGTGGCATTGGTGCTTTCTCTCTTTCGCACATGTGTGTTTGTTTATGTATATGAGAAAATATATGTTTGCAATAGTCTATATAAACCCTTGTACATATATGCAAGCATGCAAACATATATAAATGTTCTCAGAGAGAGTGGTGGGCCTGGTTTTAGCATGTCCTGAAGGCATTCAACTCCTTTGGCATGAAACACCCCATCGCTCGCACAAGCCCGGGTGGCTGGCCTAGGCCTTGGAAGGCTGCTAGTGGGACACCGGCTTGGCAGCTGATATCCCCAGGCCTGCTTAACTCCCAGGCTGCGCACCTGCCCATTGCTCCGGCTGTCAATTGCACTTTGCATCATATGATGCCATCCGCGTACAATGGGTTAACTTATTCTAATAATATATTAATCAAAATACATTCTAACGGAAAAGATCCTCCGTAGCACAAGATCAAGATGGAAATTAGTCAGGTGGAAACTGTCACAACTGTCTGGGAGGTATTTGCATGATATACTTGCAGAAAGCCTCAAATTCAGATGGAAATGCAAAAATTTATGAAAAATGTGCTAGTCTGACAGGGCCTTCATAAGATTCTTCCTGTATCCAAGCAACTAAAGGTAGACAATTATCTGTCACTCAATGCATTTGAACATAGTCAGACCCTGCAGATGGCAAGGTGAAGCACTTGCTCCAATATCCACAGAGGCCAACAGGTAAGAATTCCGAGCAAAGATTTCTGTGCCACCCTTTGTAGCCTAGATCAGCGAAATGCCTCTAAACATTTTTTTCTTTTTTATAAGGTCAAAGAACTTTGATGAAGAGGGTTTCAGCATCTTAAAACAACATTGGCAGAGTAAAGAAAGTCATGAAAGACTATTATAAGGAAGTCTATGCTGAAATCTGCCAAAAATGGTTATGGATAATGCAGCAGTGGAAAAATGACAAAGTTTCATTCATAATAGTTTTCAGAATCTGACACTGAATCTGAGTCTGTGACTGTTCTACCAGGTGCGCTGCGTGTAGGCCGGGCACACAAGAGCACTCGTGTGCAGTGACAAGACTCTCTATGCCTCCTCTCTGCAAAATTATTTTCCATCAATGTGTTTAACTTTTTTGCCCTTTTCCAATGTCCATACTTGTCTTTTGATTTGCTTTGTCCAGATGTTAATAAACTTTTCCTTGCACAGCCTCCTCATCATCACTCTATGTAGTAAATAACTCAGTGCAGGAAGAGGAGGAGGAAGAAGAAAAAATCAAATTTACTTAAAGCCCTGCTATTTTCCCTCTCCTACACTATACTATCAAATACCAGAATCATTTCCTCACATACTGTCATCTAGATACTTATGAATACATCCAAAAACACATTTCCTTTGTTAAGATCTATCCCCACTTTCATTCACAAGCAACTTTTTCAACATTCTGCTCTACTGACACTGTGTATTTGATAAATGACAAAGAAATGTACATTTTCTGGGACATGGAAGTGAGCTCTTGATATGCCTCCAACCAAAATTTGCTTTGGTGAAACTTTAAAAATAAGGCCTTTGTAGCTGGGAGTACAGAAAAGCCAGATGGTCTGCAGTTCTTGGAGGTTTAAGTAAACACATACCACACAATTCAGCTAGTTTTTTGCCTAATCAAAATGTAATTTCAGGTGAATGCACATGACATAAATGGCCAAACTTACTGCCGTTTCTTCCCAGAAAAAAGCAACACTTCTAACACACACCAGAAGACAATCTCATGAATAAGGGTTGATTTTAGTTTTTATAAACAAATATAGAAACCAAACAAAATATTGCCTAAAAATGACATTCCACCTTGCGAACATAGTGCAATCCCTGTCTCACCCTACATCCTAAACTGGAAGGAGGAAAAGACTCAATGCTAATTCCAGTCCCAGCCTTAGGCTTCCTTGCCACAAGCCTTAATGCCACCAATGAAATATTCATGTAGACCTGCTCACAATTTTATGCTACATAACATAAAACTTGCAATGACAACAAGGAATTTCTTGCATCTGGTTGGTTCATCTGTTTTCCAAACATCTGACAGACAAAACTATTCTGTCTACTGCTTGATGTGATTTGCTCTGAAGAACATCTGACTGACAGCCTACATATCAACTGAAAATCTAAAATGAAGGACAGATGCTCCAGTTTAATTCTATACTGACAGTGGTTGAATTTTCTGTGTGGCACTCATTCCAGTGACTACTGGCCACCATCTAGCCTTTCCGGCAGGGCGTTCACTGTGTTCAGCTGGTGCTTTCCGCTCGCTCACTTGGGCACATAGATGTGTCTATCATGAAGGGTTGGCTTTCCATGACAGCTATAGCCGTACCCGTCAAAAAAAAACCTTTGTTTTTTTGTTTTTTTTGCTACTTGATAATTATTGAAGTCATATATGAACACAAAAACAATTGACACAGATTAAATGACTGCCTCTATATCAAAGGAATTGAAGCATTTTTATTATGTTTATATTATAGCAGTCTTTTATCTTATCTACACATATATGTTGCAATAAAATCCATTAAAAAACAATGATCAATATGTGGTTAGGTTATCATTTCTTTGTTAATTACCTAAAAAGCAATTAACAATGCAATCTGTTAATCAACTGTCAAACTGCTTGTACTGTTGCTAATAGTCCTCCTATAATTTTATAATACATATATATATATATTTTTTTTTTCTTCTTAAAAAAAAAAAAAAAAAATCATTAATCTCTACTATGCAAAATATCAAAAAGTACTAATGTACATATAATAACAAATAACAAGCAATAAGCAAAATGTCACTACAATTCCTATGAGAGACATTTCCTCTAGAGCAATCCCTAACAACAAAGACATTACATAACCAGTACTCACTTTCACTCCTCATCAAGGACTTCAGTGAGGTGATAAGTTCCTTCGCACGGGTTGCCAGGAACTCAGAAGTGTGTGACTTCCCTGGCGATCCCCCTTTGTCCTGACTCCCAGATGCTGCGGCCTCACTGTGGCTGGAGCGCTGGACTTCAGTGGCAACGCAATATGTGCTGGCTGCACGACTCACTCTGGAAATGGTTTTGGTGAATGTTGGGATACCAAGATGACAAGTTATTAGTGTCTGTGTGTTTCCTATTCAATCTGATTTCATGCCTGAGGACTCTCCTATTTCAGGATGTGGTGCCCTCAATGAGGAAGAAGAGGAGGAGGAGAAGGAGTATGACTAGCATATAAACATAATTGTGTGCAAGCCAATGGAGTACAAAATGGCACCCACATGGCTTAAGCCTAACGGTTAGACAGGGTGTCTGCCCCCCTGAGGAAAAGCATAGTGAGCTCGTCACCACTTTGTCAAGACCTCCCACCTTGGACCTTGGGTTGCGACTGGGCACAACATTGCTAAATAATGTTCCCCATTCTTATTTTCTTTATCTGTTATACTCTTTCAACAAATAAAGAGTCAAGCCCTATCAAAAAAAAAAAGAAAAAGGGGGGGGGCAATGTTCTTATCCGCACTTTCAACCTGAGGTCTCATTACTGTAAGAAACACTGTAGGAGACAGTCTTGCTACTCTGGTACACAATCTTGAAATATCATTCACTAACTAAATAAATGATCTCTCGTTTTTAGAGATTTATATTGATTAAACTAGAATGAATTCAATGTTTTGGTGATTTTCTCTCCCTGAAAATTAATTTATTTTGATTTTTCAGTCATTTCACAAACTTCTATTCTCTTACAAGTTTCACTGACTGTTGGAAATTCACTTGTGGTTACTATTTCAGTCTGTTTAATTTTCTAACTGATTTAGTTATCTCTATCAAGAATGTCATATAATCTCTTACAAGTTTCACTGACTGTTGGAAATTCACTTGTGGTTACTATTTCAGTCTGTTTAATTTTCTAACTGATTTAGTTTATATCATTTCAATTCTACTCTTATAGTGACCTCATGGCTTTTGACATGACCTTGTAGCAGACAAGTTTGCCTTTCCTGTAGTTTGGATGTTTAATCTATGTAACACCATACCTTTGTTGCATTGCTTTAAGGTGACACATTCTATTGGCAGTTAGGTGGAGTTTGTAACGCGATTTTACACTGATTACTGGATTCAGTGTTAGTATCCTTCCCTCATCATAGAGATCCAAGATATAACCCAGAGTTGTGTGATCCACCTAATAGAGCTTCATTGCAATAGTATGTGAAGTTACAGTTAATGGTTGGAACAAATAGATGTGCTACACATCAAAGGTCATATAGCATTATGGGAAAAGTACTGTGGCAAAAAGGGTAAAGAAGAGTTAAAGATTAGGATAAAATGTGATTAGAGAGCATTAAGCACATGGAATAGAGCAGAGATTAGTAAAGAAGAGAAGGGTTAAGGGGATACGGCAATTGAGTAAATTGTAGTGAATCTGTGACTGGGGAAGGAATAGGGACAGAGATGGCTGTTCGAGAAGTACAAGGAGAAGAATCCAGGGGAGTGTTAGATGTCAAAGATTAGAGAGTGTTAGGATATTATGGTAGTGAAAAGGGAAAAGAGGTGTTTTTGATGTTGTAGAGCAGAGATTAATAAAAAAGGAAGTGTTAAGGGGATAGGGGGATTGACTGAATTGTAGTCTATCTGTGACTGGGGAAGGAATAGGGACATTGTAAAAAACAACAAAAAAAACAACAGAGGTGGCTGTTTGAGAAGGAGAATAATCCAGGGATGAGCAAAGGGGACTGGAGCAGGTGGTGAATTATCAAGAAGAATGTCAGGAGGGGAGGGGTCTGGAGAAGGACCCTGTTGTGACAGAAGGGATTTGCGTGAGCATTCAGAATGGGTTGTGTTGGGAGAGTGTAGGAGGAAGGGGGTGGGGGAAAGTGAGGTGGATGGATATCAGCAAATACTTTAAATGTAGTAGGAATTGGAGGATGGATGAGGGAGTAGAGTGTTCCCTTGGGTTATCTTTAGGAAGTTTTGGATGTCTTCCAAACACAAGCCTCTTGGGAGTGTGAATTGACTCATTGGGCGCTTAGAAGGAAACTTTGGCATTATTCCTATCAATAAACTAATGTGGAAGGTAAGGTGCTTAAGCAGTGACCAAGCATGCATACTATAAAGGAAAAAAGAAAAATGGATAAAGCAAACAAAAGAAAATGGACATTAAAGTTTATGAAAATAACTCTGCAAAGGGAGCACATCTTGTCACTGCTCATGGGTGTTCGCACGCACGCCCTATGCACCGCCGCCTTTTGGGACTGCTATTTTTTCGCACCGTATTTTCGGCGCCGTGATTTCCATGATGCAACCGGTTCCAACAGGTTAAGAGATGGGTGAGTTTCGGCAGGAATGGGTTTGCTAGTAAGGTCTGTTGTGGTAGATGGTGCACGAGCTAGGGCTTCAGATGTAACTATGACACGGTGTGAACAATTAAAATGGCTGTGAAAGGAAACTTTGCCTACTTGTTTTTGGAGACATTGTTGAAACAGAAGGGAATTAGCATCTTTTGATTGAGACCCTTTGGTGTGAAACCCTATTTATGTCTTATCATAAATGTACGACTAGGTGTTTACGCTAGAATCATTCTTCACTTATCAATCCCACCCTTCTCACTTTCACGGCAGTCACTTGCATGTTCTGGGTAAAATCTTAGGCAATTGTATTATTTCATGATCGATAGACAGATAGATAGATACCAGTTTGAGGTCACTCACAAGGGCTTATCACAGATTCACAGAGGAGAGTGGGTTATTTATGGTTATTTATTCAGTTTTCCTCATTTTGTTTAATAATATAGTGAACATAGTGAACCTCAACCATAAAGTCTTAAAGAGTCTAACTGCAATGTATATGCTATACGTATTTACCTAAGCGTATCAGAAATCAAAATTAGATAAAATTATGGATTGTGTGGTACATTTTTTTTTTAGCTACGAAGACTTGTGCTGCAAAAAAGCTGGCAGGCAAATTTTTCCTATTACTGCTGACTAATATAGAAAACATATGCATTACTGTTTACCTCCTTCAGATCTAAGTCATACGTATAAGCAGTGACTTAAAATAGAAAAAGAAAGCCATTAACTCCAAAGGGTTTGTTTACAATTCATCCATTCACTCCCAAATTTCGTGGTATGGAGGGACTACAAACTTATAGTATGTACGTTACTCATGTCCTTGATTTCAAAGAATATTAGGTAAGGGAAATCTGCATGGCTGAACTTTCAGAAATCACTGGTCTTGCTCTAAAGGTACATGCGCATCATAGGATGCAAGCAATTTTTTGGGACAATGTATCAGATTAAAATGCATCTTCTGTAGCAAACAATACAGTAATAAATGATTCTCCAGGATTTATGTAAATTCTGGCATTATCCCTTTGAGTACCATCCCTGGAGGCAGAGGAGATTGAGGAGGTTATATAGATAAATATAAAAAAAAAAGCCACCGATTTCCTATTTTGATATCTGATGTATTTTAACCCACTTATGATGGGTGTCACACATATGAGATACAAAGAAAAGTAAACATTACTGGGCATCCTGCCAGTGTGATGCTAGATCAGTGCTTGCGCTCTGATTTTGTCACCCGTGGTGGGCGGCGCACAGGCAGGTTCCCGGACTCACCCGTGCGCCGATCTTGAAGCCGCCCGGAAAATATTATTTTCGGCTTGAAAATGTACTGTTGCTAGTGGTTTAACATTCGCATTTTTTCAGACCAAATTTAAGTCTCCGACTTATAGAAACAAACAAACAAACAAATGACTCCCATGAAAAGGGGCAAATTCAGACCCAAGACAATAAGACCGTTAAATGAAATTGGTTGTTTCTTGTTTTAGATCTCTTTTATTAATGTTTTCTTGAGTGTACATTTGTTTACATGGTTATATGCATGCAAATTTATGTAAAGGTATATGGAATTGTACGTGTGTATATATATATATGCGCATGTACACATTAGATCCGTAATGATTTATTTTCATGTATCCATTTTCTTTTTATTCTAGTCTACTCTTCCGCATCATTTAACCGTGTGATTCCACCTTGAAACAAGTGATAAATGTTTAGTCACGAGTGGAGTATCTGTAATAGTGAGACAAGTTGTTTTTTGTTCATTAGAAATAAGCATTCAGAAAATATTGATATATCAAAATTATTTTGAAATACAAATCGCTTATTTACGTTTGTCGTGGACGCTTCTTCTTGTGATATAACATTAGGTATCAGATATCTGAATGTCTATCTTAGGAGTCTACACAAATAGATTATATCTTATATTGTCATTACATTTACTATTTTCATAAAATGGATTTATTAGGACATAATGATGTTTAATCGATTGTGTAGTTTCAAATGGAATCACAAATGTAAAATTATTGCAATCAGAAAAGTCTAACACAGCCATTGACACGGGGAGCACTCAGCCTGTGTTAATATCTATTTGTTGCGAGTTTATTTTTAGAGATACAGACTTGTAACTGCTCATGCATTATCATCGAACCCTAAATATACTTGTATAATAAATATGTCAAGATCGAATAATATCTATTTCACTTTATGGGAAAGAAATTTTAAGTCAAGTAATTTTTTGTTTTTCTGTTATAATGAGACACTTTATCCTCCTATGATCCATTTCAATAGGTTAGGTCATAATACAAGTGACAGTGTGAAAGGGTGAAAATCGCCGACACAGCGGCAGGGAGACTTGGGGGTTTTCACCTCACACACTGCCTAAACTTTTCATTGCGGGAGTTTAGATTCGCATGGGTATTCTTACAATCGTATACGAATATGAAACTGACCATAACTCATTTTCGACCAATCCGACCCAAAATCCCCCCATCACCAGGGACAGTTCCCTTAAACCTCAGCCTCCAAATGAAATGGGGTTCATGGCATAGTTGACTTGGTCATAGCTCTGTTCACATCATGAACAAACTTGACCGTGGCTCCAGGTGACAGCTCAATCACGTCATGTTAGTGCCATGCATGCATTACATTTTATGCTGTTCATTGTAAGGTAACCTCATACCCACATCCCACATGCTCTGGGGCATTGTCTGTGGGAGATCAGGACTTGTATTG